TGGAGGAAAAGCTTATACTGTGTGTGTCTGAATTCCCCGAACTATATGACACAAGTTTGCAATTTCTTTCACAAGCGGGAACTCCCCAAGCTGCTCTCTGGACCTGAGTGTTTCGTGCACCCACAGCCTCCACTTCTTGCTGCTCTTTTTCTTCGAACTAGCAGGGCTAGTGCTAGCGCTTGCTTCTTAGCACGGGTCAGATACATATTTGCTGCTGACCAAAAGCTGGAACAACAAACAAATGACTAGACCCGGCAACCCAGCCGGCGCAGCGCAGTGCAGCGCAAATGCGCTGAACCCCGCGGCCAGCGCAGCGCAAATCGCTTCCTATCTGAAAGGCCCATTACTGTCTGCACCTGCGCTTGGGTTCAGAAGCCTGTTAAAGCGCAGTATTTTCAGCGCCCCAAGACCATAAAGTTCTGAGACGCTGATTGGCCATTAAATTCACCTAGCAATAGTACATGATTGACAGATTCTCTGCAAATGTGGGTCAGTCTGATCAGCGCCCCCAGAACAGAGACGGTAGGAGTCTGTCTGTGGAAATCCACAAATTAATGACAGTAGATAGGGAAATGTAGTTTATATAATTCGTTTTGCTTATAGGTACACAGTCTAGAGAGTAAAACTGACATTTATGAGTTAATTTCTAAAAATATATTTTACTTTTCTCTCTTCTTATCAGGGAGGGCGTTGCCCCAGCGCCCCCTATGGGCCGGCCGCCACTGATGCACCTGTACCTGCTCCCGAGAGGGAACACCTATTAAGCACACGCGAGAGCGTGCACGAGCCCATCTCTCCTCGTCCACGCACTGTTTAAAAGTTGCTATTTTAGTCGCTCATACAAGCTTACTTTCCAAAACAAGTTTTTCAATTTTTCCACTATTCAGATTTTAGCACCAGTAAGTGAAGAGCACGTAGGGCGGCCTTATGTAAACATATCACCAGAAGGATTAGAAGGACCACTTATCTAGATGATCCACCTGGAAGAAGAACATCCTCCTCTGTACCTGTAAATTAGCTCTGTTTTAACCATTTGATTTAATTTATTTGTTATAATGAGCATGAAAACTGCCCAACACTTGCTATGTTTATTCGGGAAAATAATCAGACTGAAGGCCATGTTTTACGTAAACATGTCAGACTGAGGATTTTAATCCTATTCTAACAGATCGGAAGGAAATTTCATTTAGAAAGAGAGAGATGATTTTAGTTGATTATCGTTCTGATATGGATCCATGTACACACTTATTAAGATCTACAACAGCATGATGTTTTACCCACATTCTTACAGAAAATTAGGCAGTTATAATTAGTTACATATAACTGACAATTGAACTATATATAATTGATCGGATCATTTTATTTAGTATAAACTGAGATTTTAAGTTCAGGTCAGCTTAGGTATATTTAGCTACTGTTGAAAAGAGGACCCCAACATCCACCGTGAAGGTGTAGTGGATACACCAAAGAAGAGGAGGAAGGTGATCCAGTTGGGTGAAATCGTAGTTTAATAATATATTATCAATGTCTACAACGGATTATGGCATGGCAGCTTCATGCCACTTAAATGAGTAGAACAACACGCAGATTAAGTGTGATAGAAAATCTGTTAAGCCGGGCAAACACTGTGCGATTTTTTTCAATCGTTGCACAAAGCTGCAGCTCAAACCGTACAACAAAACTGCAGGGTATAAAAGTTCCCAGCTCACAATGCATGTTCTCACAATGTACGGCGTGACGCTCTGATGCGATCTTTCGACGGCCAACTGAATTTCAAACATGTTTGATTTTCTCCCAGCCTTAGGATTCCTGAACGGTAGGTGGTCATGAGAGGCTTATCAGCCCTCGTTACCCCCTGTATATTACACAGCGCACGACACACCATCAGAGCATGTGAACGGAGTGGAGCGCCGCGCAAATCCCGCTCCCCGCTCAGGAGGATGTTCGCTCATTCGATCCAATCTCAAAAATTCCGCTCAAAATCCGCTCCGCGCTCACCTTAATTTTCCTGTCGCTCCGGGCGAAATCGCTCCAAGCTCGCTCAAATTTTCAGAAGGCATTTTCTGACAATTTTACAATTTTCCCTCATGTAATTATGCCAGGGCCCCGGGACACACAGGGTTTGATTTAATGGTGTGACAGATACATGTGTATTGTGTTATTTTACTGGCTGTTAAATGGCCGCACTGTTTCCCTGTTGGGAACGTAACACATCGCTCCATTCATGTTGCCCCACGTTTTCTCTTTAATTACTAATTTATTTTACATCAAATAAATGTTATTTTACAAATTTTATAATCCAAAATTTTTAGTTGACATTGTGAGCGCATGGGAGCGAACTGGAGCGGAGCGAAATTCTCACTCCGACCTTTGAATTGAAAACTTCTCTGTACTCCACCATATTTCTTCCACTCCGCTCCACCGCTCCATCGAGGCTCTGCTCCGCCCACATGCTCTGTGCACCATGAGGCTGAAATTCGGCCTAATCAAAAAAATTCTTGCACGACTGGAAATTCGGCTCGAAAACGGCCAAAAACCTAACAGTGTATGCCCGTCTTTACCGGCCACATAAGAGGCAAAGACTCATCTTGCAGCATTACAACTACCCTTAGAATGAAGCCAGAGCTGCAATTAAGTGTTTTAGGTCAAAACATATGCATTTGAATTGTCCAGACACTGATCCTCCATAACCAAGTTCTGCACTCTTCTTTACTGAAAAGGTCTGTCAGCCTTTTCAGTAAAGAAGAGTGCAGAACTTCAGTGTGTAGATGTGTCTTGCAGTTACAGGCATACCTGCAAGGGTAATTGCCAGCAGTTTTACAAGGCATCACCTTGGGAAAGCTGAACACAAATGTAATTCAGTAATTGAAAAACATTAATCACATAATTTGTGTTGGTCTATCACATAACAACCCATTAGAATATAATTAATTGTGTAGCCCTTCAATAGTAAAATGTGAAACTGTTTGAGAGATATTAGCCCCCTTCGCCTTGGACTGCACCTAACCTGCAGCATAAGATCAGCGATCAGCTTGGCCTGCTAAAATCTGTCTTAAGTTTCAGCATATTTAACATTTAACATGATTTATACACTTTCTTTTCCATTCGGTGTTGTTGTTCAAAGGCAGGCTTGCTTTGACTAACGTGTTTTGGCGCTTTCGGTGCCTTATTCATCATGCATAAAACGAGAAGTTGACATTTCGCCTAGTATTTGTCATCACGTCCCATTTGATTTATGCCATGATAATTCAGTCTCACCAAAAAAAAAAAAAAAAAAAAAAACTGTATGCAGACACTCCACAGTTCCACTTAGCAATCAGTCAGGCAGTACACAAACAACACGATTATCTCTTTGGCCACATAAATCAAGAGGAAAGTCATTATGGGATTTAAATAACCAATACGGTAATGGCTAAAACTTTACAAAGTGGAATTTTGATTTGGAGCAACTAACGGATTTGGTTTCCTTGACTAACGTGAAAACATCCAGTTTCACACACTACAGCATAAACACACGGCTGCATTAATCCATTATTTTTCTCTGGTGCTCTAACGCGCTACCATTTAGAGTAAATCATCCACAGATGTCAAATAAGGGCGCAGAGGTAAAAAGCTTGAGTTACGGAAAACCATTCCCCTGAAACTGCTGAGGACAGGGATTGGTTTAATTATCACTGTAAATCAACAAGCCAAACACCAACAAATGATCAGGCTCTGGTATACCGAGTACTTACACAGCCCGACTGTGTCCCAGCGAGGGGAGCAGACTGAAAGAAAAGAATGTTCATTTGGTAAGAATGGCAGCAACACCACCAACAATGAAAGGTTTTCTCTTCCCACTGGGAGCTGGCCTTCCTGAAAGACTCTGTCCACCTAAAAGAGCTGCAAGTTGTGTTACATTTGGCAGCCTGACAGGTGCGCCTGACAGACTGCGTGTGCAGGTTGAGTGCTTAATACGCCTCAACTCAGAAGTCACTGCTGTTGACCTTCAAAGGTTAGAGTGACATCCAGTGGTGATGTGGGAGGAGACAAAGACAAAGAGGCTCCCAACTTGTCATTATAAAAAGGTCGCTTTGTTTCTTTTCTTTTTACACAGAAAAAAAACTCCCAACATCCACATTTAAAAACCACTTAAAGTTACATGTTATATGCTTTGCTTCTGTGGGATGACAAATGGAGCTTAGGTGTATTTATTTCAGTTTAACTGTCTTGTAAAATGGAATAAACCACTCTTTCTTAACAAATGGTCCCTGACTTAAAAATGGGCAATGGTTTACTCAACAGGTTTGGAAGATTTTGAACAGAAAGACAGCTAACATTAAAGATCAAGGCTGTTTCTCAATCAAGAACGTGAGTACGAACTCTTGTTCTCGCCAAGCATGTTCTTGCCCATAACAAAGGAAAGCATAGACTTGGGAAGAACGGGAGCATGCAGTATAAACATGGGTCAATTGGATCAGAAGCGTACTGGTGACATCACCACACCCTCAGCTCATCTGGAAGAGCATTTTCCCTCCTGTTATTGATAATAATATATCATTACTTTTTTTATTTAGTGAGGGAATAATTATTAACACAGTCAGAAACACAAATAGAATGAACACTTTGTCCAATAAAACAAAATATTCCCATCAGAGCCAGCAGTACTTTACACACGGTTCTTAAAATGATTTTAAAATGTATTTTTTTTGTAAAATAACAGAAAAGATAACTTTTAACTTAACACTGAGCTCTGTGAGTGCACTACTGAACGCTGCTGCTGTAGCAGTGCATGCTGGGACAGCTGTCAATCTGGAGAACAGACAAGTCTGCTCTGATGCATGCTCAGTAAAGATGGAAGGGCGAGAACAACAATTGGGGACTTTGTCCGTTCTCGATCTTGTGTTCTTGTGAATTGGAACATTGCTAAGGCTGAGGCTGGTAACATTTGACAAGCACACAAGAACGAACAAGTACATATATTGAGAAACAGCCCAAGTTTTCCACTTTTTCTGTCCTACCTGTAGGAAACTCTGCAGGCACTACAACAGTGTCTCCAGCTACCAGCGAGGGGACAATCCAAGTGTAGCCATAACCAGTGATCCCAACAGAGTGGGCCACCTCGAAGATGGTGTTGGCCTCTTCTTTTGTGCAATAGAGAAGAATCACGGGGCTCTGGAGTTTCTTCAACTGGTTCTGGATCTTTGAGTCGCCATCATCCACGGACATGTCCAGCAGAAGAACTTCCTCCATCTCCCAGCCAACAAAGCTGTTCTCAATGGTGTTTCGTATCTGAGGGAGATACAAGTACGGTTATGGGAAAACACTTGCTAACACAAGTTAATAAAACAGTGATACTTTAAAACTGGTACAGAGGAATGAGACTATAAAAAAACTGGAACTTGTATCAGCTCTAAAGACTTTGTGGTTGAAAAAAAGAACTAATGACTGACTATGACACCCACAAAAAAGAATAAAATTGCCTGTTGTTTGTAAACTGTTTGTCCTCTGAAGTCTAAATGTCTGACCAGCAAGAAGGAAATTTCTACTGAAACTCTTCTGAGAGTCGTAATTCTGAGTCGAAAGTCAGGGTGACATGACCGCACTTTGGTATAAATAATGGCTGCTACTCGCATCTATGGTAGTAGAAAACCTTCTGACTGTTTTTACCATTTCCTCCTGATTTACTATAAAGTGTAGTCAGGCGTATACATTCTACTTTTCAATGTTTAGAAGATATTTAAATTCTGCATATATGTGCTAAATATTAAGTAGAGCTTCTAATTGTTATGGCTGAAACTGGAAACTTCTAAAAGTTTAATACATTTTTCTTGTTATTGGCACCTGTTTGACTCCGAAAACAGTCTCCTCTAACACCTGAATGCAATGCATGTCAAAAATTATATATTGCTCTTTAATTCAGTTTAATAAAAAAAAAATCTCTATTACTTACAGTAAAAATCCTGTCCTGGGACAGTTGGTGACTTACTGAAAAAGCGCTTTGCTTCTTGTTTCTTATGTGGGTGGTTTGAGATATAATTTTGGTACTGCCCTATTTTTAAGCAGGTCGTTTTTTTGCAGGCCAACACTCGGCTATACAAGTGGTGTTAGACAGATTAAGAAAATGAGAAATGATGCTAATTAAACATCAATATAGCCAACATGGTGGTTGGGAAATCTTCCAGGTGATAATCTCAGGAGACTAGCTGAGCTCCAGGTCAGGAGGAGGGCTCCAGGGTAACATCTAGCTGCTTTGAAGATTTCTTTTTAAAGAAAATACAGAAATATCTTCTGAAAATATTACAACGCTTTGACCTTTTTTCACATTTATGCACAAAAAGAGAAAAGAAAAACAGATTAATTGTTTTGTACTTTTTTTAGATGAGTAACACAACGAAGCAGGTGATTGTAAATTGGGTGGAAAATCATCGGTTTTGGACTTATGCTGCATCAGATAGTTTTTTGGGCTTTCCGATGATGCACTCTTAGTCTTATCCAGTAATATGTACCAGACAATTGAGCCTTAGGGTTATAATAATTAACATATTATAAGTCACCATATTTCTTATGAGTCAGCCAAAGTGAAAAGGAATGTTATGAACTACACAGGATTAATCATAAATATATATAACTGAACAGGACTGTGAAATTTAAGCATTTTATCATAGGTAATTTCAGTTTCATTGAAAATGAATATGACATTTTTGCTACTTTACATGTAGCAGAAAGGGAAGGAAAAATTGGCAACCCTTAAGGGCTGGTTATCCTCCCCGCAGCAGTGGGTCGCAGCGAGCTTGTCTCAGATATTTCTGATTTATGCCTAATATTAAAGTGTGGTCTGCTGTATGTAATTCCACTCCACAACGCAAGAGGGACAATCACGAACTAGCTGTGGGTCTAGATCTGGCCGAGGCATTGAAGAAGTGGGGGTAAGTTTGTGTGACAACAGAGGGACATGAGAGCGAAAAAGAGCAGGGATCCAGGTGGAAAAAGGGTCCCTGCGTTTTTGCGCACCTCGCTGTTCTAGCTGGTCTAAGCTGGTAAAGTTACCAAACAGGAAATACGTATAGTGTAGCTGGGATGTAGATTTGACCAATCAGATGCCTCCTGTCTGCGGTCACCTAAAATTTTGGAGAGGTGCACCAGAGTGTCAGTGGAAGGGGGGGGCACATTTGCTTTCACTGCAACACCTGGTTTCTGAGTATAAACCAGCCTTTAGGCAGAAAGTGGAGCCTTTAATGGCAAAGATTCAAAATTACCGTGAGCTGAAATGTTAATGGTGGTCCACCTGTGGTACACATTACGCTGTCCTATCAAAAGTGCTGGTTTAATCATGCTGGGGAAATCTTCTGTTTTTACTAAGGAAATGGAAGTTTGTCAGAGAAACCTGTAGCAGACTAAAGACTTTTCAAAGGTTTACCTCAGAATGGCATAAAGGTAAAGTAGCTAACTCATCTGTAAAAGGGTTTAATAATAACTTAAGAGGATGTGTGGGATCTAATTTGATTGGGCAATTAATTAACTATGTAGATGTAAAATAAATGGTAGAGAAATACCCTAAAAACTGGCTATATTTCATTAACTACATTTTTTGGCCCCGATACCGATACCCGATACCTGGCTGTGCAGTATCGGCCGATACCAATACCATAATAATGTAAAATAATTGCCATCATGGCTTTGTCAAGCTGCTGCCTACCTTTGTGAAGCAGGAAAAAATCTAATACAAAGTGAATCCAGTAGAACTTTTTATTGCCTACCAGGAGTAGGTGACAATAGCTGAATAAACTTATGGCTCTCAAAATGGTATCTGTGCCCTATTTGTTGGTACTCGCCGATACCGATACCACCATTTTAGGGCAGTATCGGGGCCCTGTCCGATACTGGTATCGGTATCGGTGCAACACTAACTACAGCTTAAAGTTTTTTTCCCCCCCATGTAAGTTATGCATTACTTTGTATAGGTCCAAAGTATAAGAAAATAAAACTACTTCAAACATTGTGGTAATGTAAGAAAATGTGAAAAACTTCAAAGGGTATCAATACTTTTGAAGTGCAGTGTAAATGCATGATCCTTCTGCTGCATGGCCTTACCTTAGTAACAAAGTCCTGATAACCGGGGTAGTACGTTGTGACGATGGAGAAGATGTACCAGTCATACTCCTCCATGATATTTAGTATGACAGACGCCTGCTGCTCGATGGAGGGGCCAAACTGAAAGAACATGGAGTTGTCGTCCTAGTAATAACAGAAACACACACAGAGGAACAAAGACAGAGTGTAAACGGTTATGCAACAGTATTGGACTGGACTTTAATTTAGCCGGCATTACACACAGAGGAGAATGGCCACTACTTAAAGGACAGTGGCGGGTTTTGTTACATTATTGGAGCGAACATTAATTTAGCTGCCTTTATTCTTTGGCTCACAGAGGAGAAAGACAAGAGGACTCCTGTGGACTTGTAATGACACCGGTCATGGTTTTCATTAGTTCCCTTTATGACGCCTTTAATGAGTTTGTGGCTGGAACAAATTCTGTGGACTCAGAGCTGCTGTCTTTAATCTTATCAGCTATTTTCATCAGTTTGTTTTATTATAAATCAACACTCCAACTTATGTGTAGCCTATTCAATATTAGATTCATAAAAGTAGGTGATATGCGTGATATTGCAGTCATTTATCCTGCAGTAATTCAAAGAAAATTCAAACATTCACAGACGTCAGCCCTTCGCCTAGGAAGTGTTAAACCTGAGCTTGACAGACAACATATACCAAATAAGAAAAGTCGTATTATTTAATTGACTCTTTAACAAAAATTTCTTAAACACTTATTTCTTGAGCCTGCGTGTTGCCACCGGTGTTGGCACCAGAACGTTGAGCCAGACAGAAGAAGAGGAGGAGGTGAGAACTACTAGTCTAGACACGGTCCTGCAGTTCTGCATCATTAGCTTGCTGCTGTGTATGTGAGTCACCGTGTGAGAGTCAAACTCCCTTGTGCATCATGTACAGCATCATGTTTATTTACCTTTAAAGTTCATGCTACAAACAGGCTAATTGATATGAATGAGTTTCCCATTTTTGTGTATTTTATGGTCGATTAAATGTTAGTTCACAACCAGACAAGGTGATACTGTAGGTGCCAAACTCTGCTAAATGCCAAGAATAAAATGACGATCAAGTGATGTAGTTGATTGATTGGAGAGACGCTGTAGTTTGACTCGTTAACATTTAGTATTACTACAGAGAACATGTACTGCCCAACGCCACTATAAGCAGAATCAAGAGTCAGAAGGGAGAAGAATTTGATTGATGATCAAATGTTGATTTTTCACTGCAATGTAAAACATAAATAACAATGAAAAAATGCCTTTGGTTTTATAAGCAGATGGGTATTTTCTGAACAAATTGTTTTGAGTTAAAGGATCCTTTGAGAGCACACCTCTGTAAAACAGATTGGCGTGTCTGATATCCAAAGGGAATGGATGCCTATTGATTACACAAGAAAGCAGATGATTTTCTTAACAAAAAGGGTATTTCTAACAAGAAAGTGTCAAAAAAGGCATATCACTTGATATAAAAATAAAAAAGCAGAGTGTGCGTTCTCCCTTTACCTAAATATTTGTAGCCCAAGAAAAAGTCGGGTTTGTAAAATTAAATGAGTGAGAGGGGAAGATGTCTTCCACTCCACTAAAACTACCTCTTAAATGTGTTTTTTTTCTACCCTTAAGTAACAAAGTGAAAAAATTCTTGTTTTTAAGATAAGAAAACCACGCTGACACACTTAAACCAAAGATTAGATGTACAGTTTTAGCAAAGTTAACAGCCAGACCACTGACCTAACCTTACAGTTGTTTGTGAGCATAAAGTTTTCCAGGTAAGAAAGAAAAGGTTTAGTTTTTGAGTTTTTTTATTTCCATGTGACCTCTGTCCGAAATATAAAGAGTTTGCTGACATTTGTGGCTCATCCTGTTGACTCAGTAAAATAACTGCTCTCTCCCAGTATTCCTACTTTTATTTCTCATGTGAGCAAACTTTATAGGGCAATGCTTTAACCTCTTTAAATCACCACATATGGAAGGATTTAAGAAAAATGATTGTAATTGCTGACAGATGGTGTCCCAAGAATAATGTTCTGAGAGTTTATTACCAAATTTCAGCAGAACTGCTTAAATAGAAACAAAAAGGAGTCCGTCTGTGTGGAAAGGTGAGACTTTTGGCTTGCGGTTGCTACTGCTATATTTTACACAAACACTGTGCTAAATATCATTAAGTTTTTGGTAAACCTTGTGTATAAATGTGCTGATCAGAAGTAGAAAATAACTATTTTAATCTCTTTTTCATTTTTTTGTCTCAAGTGATTTTTTTTGTACATTCAGAATCTCACTGGACTAATCAAAATAGTGCTTTTAAATTTCAGGGCACTGTGCCGATTTCACCCCTTTCATCAGCGACTATTCAGTTGAAAATTAATATTACTGTATTTAGTAATACTCAGACACAATTGAAAAGGAAAAGTTTTCAGAATGATAATGCCTCCAAGCAAAACACAAACTTTATGTACAGTCATGGTAAATAGAAATACACCATCTGCTCTCTGCTAATCCCTGTTCCAAAATTATTTAAATCTAACCTCAAGTGTGCAAACCCACTCACTGCAGATCTCCTTATGTCATTATTTATGAAACAAAGATGAAGCTAAATCCAAAAAAGTTGTGGAAAAACTAAATGCAACTAATAAAAAACTTAAGTTAGAGCTGAAGAATGAATATTATTCTGGGAATACTGGTATTTTTTTCATCATTTTTCATTTTAGTCATTGTTATTTTTTCATGTTAAGCATTTGAAAACCTTCTGAACTGACACTGAACTAATAATTTAACAACATCTGGGAAACAGGAGGCATAAAGACGCTCCAAGTTTCCACAGTTGGTTTGCAACCAAAAATGAATTCTATGCCAATATTACTTTATATTTTTTTGTTTACATGAAATGGTTTATTCCACAGAAGCTCAACTTAAACTTGCATGGTAGTTCATGCTTTTATTGAAAGCATGCACAAAAAAACAAAGTGTTGATCATCCAATGAAAGCATGATAATGGGTCAAGTAAGTGAGAGTATAATAGTTTTTCATCTCATGCTCACAGTACAAACAGTGTGGCTGACGATGCATCATACATCTCATTTTGAAATAGAGGTTTCAAATCTTGTGGTTATTTTTGCAGACTTATAAGTGAATTTAAGGAGTTCTACAAAAGTCCTTGCTGTAGCTGCTTTATGTCAAGATGCTATCAGTCTGCTTTGCACTTACAGCTACTCCAATTAACAAGTATCTAGGGAAATATTCACTGTTTGATCATAGTGGAGAGACTGTGAGGATGGGCTGCATGAAGGCGCAGCTTGTGGCACCGCTGCCTCGCAGCAAGAAAAGGGTCTATCTGATTGCCGTTTGCATGTTTTTTACTGTGCGTGTTTGGGTTCTCCCCGGGTACTCTGGCTTCCTCCTTCAATCTCTTATCCTTCCTTTTTCACCAAGCCCTTCCTGGAGAGGAAGATTTGCATGAGTGTGGGGTCTTTTTTGACCAAGATTTTAGAAATTAAACAAAATCCATCCCTCCATCCATCCTCTTCTCCCGCTTTTTCCATCAGGGTGGTGGTTGGGCCGGTGCCTATCTCCAACCATCTATAGGCGAAAGGCAGGGTACAGCTTGGGCAGGTCGCCAGTCTGTCACAGGGCAGCACACAAACACACAAAGACACACAACCATGCACACACACTCACACCTAAGGACAATTTAATAATCCTAATTAACCTAATAGTCATGTTTTTGGACTGTGTGTGAACCTTCTTGCTGCAAGACAGCATTACTACAAACTGCATCCCCATGCAGAACAAATTAAATCACATATTTTATTTTATTTAGTTTTAAATCAGGTAATTTGTTAAGTGGAATAAGAACATATGCTTTAATATAGCTATTAATTGGTTCATTCTGTTCATTTTCTTGTTTATTTCAGACTGTGTTAAGATTAAGATATACTGACACACCAGCACTGACCTTGCATCATCTACCCATTTTCACTTCAGTGCATTTCTCCATTTCCCTCTGTTCGTCCTCTTTTTTTACTCATTCTTCATCCATCTCTATCTCTTTTCCTGCTCTGGCGTACCCATTAATACCACTGGAATCACGGCCAGGGCACACTTATAATTGAATTTCCAGACTTGCACTCGCCCGCTTCCCCTTTTTATCCTCAGCTGAGCACCCGTGTCACTATGAACCCCCACCTCACCTTTTCCCCTGGGTTCCTTTCTCCATATCTCTCTTCATAAAGGCAATATTAAAGCACTGCCTAACACAGTCAAGAGGTTAAAGGAATTCTTATTAGCCTTAAGAAAAACACATGCTGAAAGAAGAGTTTTAAAAACATAAAACCTGAATGAAGCATGAGAAAGTAAGACAGAAAGGATGCAAGGATGGACAAGAAGGAAAGAAAAAAGAATAAGTGTACAAGGGTGGAAGTATCAAAGGACTGACATGATGAAGAGAGGAAATGGGAAAAAGAAAAAACATGTTTACATGAGGACGGAAAAGCAGACAGATGATTAAAATATAGAGTAAGGAAATAAGGGAGGAAGGACACAGTGTGCACATGATAGGCATAAGTAAATGAAGAGGAAAGCAAGGGAGGACATAAAGAAAAAAAAAAGCACAGAAAGAAGGGAGGAAGTAGAGAACAATGGCGAGTCGGGAGGAAGGAGAGTAAAAATGCGATAGAATCAAGAAAGAAAGAAAGAAAGAGAAGAGGAAAGGACAGAGGGAAATAAACAAGGAAGGACAGATTGAAGGGAACAAGGAAAGACAGAGGGTAGTGAACAATCACATAAATGGATAACATGAATATGGTGTTATTGGCATCAGGAAGGGAGTAAAAAGTGGAGAACTAGCAGAAAGGAAGAAAATAATGAATAATTTAAACACATAATGGTGGAAGGACACAAGGACAGTTCTTTATATTCTTATTTTAATGCTTTTCCACACATAAAAATACAGAAATCAATTTTAGAGTTGTTTTTTAGATTTTTCCAGGATGAAAAGGAATCCTGAGGATGAGGGGTCAGAGTCATTGACTAAAATTAAGTGCTGCACAACACCGCTCTTCATTTACAGCTACAACAATTAGGGTTTGTCCACATTATCACCTCTGTTGGCACAAAGCGATCGATTAGTGGGAATTA